CCTTAACTTTCGCATTTGGGTCTAATGCCGAGTGGTTGTGATCCACATAGTGCATAAGAGGTTGGTTTAGGGGTGTCCAATTATGATCCCAAGCCCTGGTATTCTCTCCACTTCTGATTTTCCGTCCTACACCTTGATAGAAGAGGTCCTATACTTTGGTAATTGCACCCCATATGGCCGACTGTTTGCATCACTTCTTGACTAAAGGCATTTCTTCTCCGCCACACCTATACTTGCTACGCAAGCACTTAACCCAGAGTGTGTCAGGTTTCGTTATTAGACCCCAGCAGAGCTTATAATGAAAGCAATATTCTGGCAGTATAGGTCTTTGACTCCCAGGCCTCCTTTGTCTCGATCCCTCTTAATATTTTCCCAAGCAATTAGATGCATTTTATGACTTTCGATTCCGTGGTTCCAGAAGAAGTCTCAGCTCCATCGCTCAATTTCTCTAAGTATGCCTTTGGGAATGAGCAAAGTCTGCATATGATAAAACGGTAGTGATGATAAAACAGACTTGATGAGGACCATTCTACTCGCCACGCTGAGGAAATTTCCTTTCCAGCTTGCTAACTTATCTTTGACTTTTTTAATCAGGGGCTCAAAAGTTGTTCTGGTAGCTCTCTTGTGCAGAAGTGGGACACCAAGATATTTCCCCAGGTCCGCAGTAAGGTTAACCCCTAAAATTCTGCTGAATTCACAAGCTCTGTTGAAATGAACATTCTTCGAGACGAAAACTTTAGACTTTTCTAGATTGACTCTATGACCAGATATGTTACAAAAGACTGACATGACATTTTTCATTTCCTCCATTTGATCAACTGAAGCCTCGCTAAATAGGAAAAGATCGTCAACAAAAAATAAGTGGAAGATACCAGGTCCTCTCCTACTAAACTTCAGTGGTTTCCATCTTCCATTTTGAACCTCTCCTTAGATCATGTGACCTAATCTTTCCATGCATGAAATAAATAAGTATGGGCTCAGGGGGTCTCCTTGCCTAATTCCCCTTGTCGAAAGGAATTGTTCTGTCGGGCATCCATTCCATAGAATCCACATTGAGGCTGTGGTAACACTTCTCATGATCAGATGTATGAAATTTTGTCTCAGCCCCAAACTCTTCAGATTATCTTCAATGAAATCCCAATCTAAGCAATCATATGCTTTCTCCATATCAACTTTGACCGCAACATATCCTTCTCTTTTTTTTGTGGTTCTCATGGTATGAATAGCTTCCTGGGCCAAGATGATGTTATCGCTCCCTTGCCTGCCGCTAATGAAGCTATATTGATTTGGTCCAATGAGGTAGTCCATAATCCTCCTAAATCTATTTGCCAAAACCTTAGTGATGATCTTAAAACTAACATTGCATAATGATATTGGCCTAAAATCTTTCATCGTATTCGGTTGATCAACCTTCAGGATCAGCACAATGTTAGTCTGATTGAGGTCTTTTATTCTTTGGGAGTTCCCAAACACTTCCTCTACCATATCACATATTTTTTGTCCCACAACTCGCCACTGTGAGTGGAAAAAGTGAGGCGATAAACCATCAAGACCAGGCGCTTTGAAAGCCCCCATTTCAAACGCTGCGTTTTTTATTTCTACCTTAGTAACGCTACCTTAGAGCTGGTTCTTTTGTTCTTCCGAGAGCACTGGGAAAGTGTGTGACCAAGACGTGTATCTCGTTACCTTGGTGTCTTTTGAATAGAGTTTCCTGAAAAAATCCAGTGCCATATTCTTTAGCACTGACTGATCCGTAACCTAGTTCCCATTTCCGTCTTGCAAGGTTTCTATAGTACTTTTCTTCCTTTTGATTACTGTTGATGCGTGGAAGTACTTTGTGTTACGATCTCCTAATTGCAGCCATCTACATTTGGATTTCTGGTACCAGATTAATTCTTCCTGGTTAATAACTTTCATATACTCCTTCCACAGTTTCTTTTCCAGTTTCAAAAGTCTTGGATGAAAATTCGATTCCTTTGCCTTATCCACGCCTTCAAGCCTTCTCAAATACTTGTCCTTTTTCCTCGGGATACTGCCGATCATCCTGTGGTTCCAATCTGTAACCTGTTTAACAGAGTGATTTTGCCCCGAGTCCAATTTGTAACAACCCCCCATAATTAAGGATAAATAAACATTTTCAAAACGATAATTACTTCGAAAGGTTAACTATGGTAGAAAGGACAAAATTAATCAAATAAAAATTTACCATAGTCCTTAACAATTTATTTCCATAACAAAGCAGTAGCTACTATTCTAGAATAGTAAAGATAGTTAATGAAATAAGAAGTAATCAACACTTGATTTTTTTCACGTTTGTATCAAATCCATCAACACTACTCAGGAATCTCAAAATACAATTAAGACTTGCTGTAAATGGGTTAGGGCCTCTGAAGCCCGTCAGAATAACAGTCACTAACGCCCATAACAATCACAACCAAAATAAAAGTCACATATGTGTCAAAAAGGGCTCCGCCCAACAACATAATTCCATAATGCAGCAGAAAAGTTAAAATTATGTTAAGTATAACAAAAAGGCCCTAAGGTTTGGCAATATAGATGAATTGAATCATATATACCAAAATAGAGGCTATACAGAGTGGAAAGAAAAACTCAAGCCTTGGACAACTTCCCCTTGGGACCAACACCTGAACCTTTGCCTGAAAAAAAAAAAGGTTAAATAACCACGGGGTGAGTCAAATTGACCCAGTAACCACAATTCCAATTCAACAAGTATCCAGGGAGTGATTACAAGATAGTTAAGCAGGCAAAGTACAATTTCAAATAACATATAGGATAAACATCCTTACAGAACTTCATCAACCATCCTTATAACCTCCTTGTAACTTCTGACAGAACCCATGGGCTATTCACATATAACGGGATTTGGCTCTTTTACAAGACTGCACCAAGCTCTCCAATAATGAGGTGTAACTCGGCCAAAAGTTACAGAGCTCATATCGGACCATAGGTTCCCTTTCCTTGGAATATGGAAAGGTGTCATGTCCCTTGGACTAACCCTTGACCCGGCTAAAGGAAGGGTGATACTGAGAGCCCTAAGAATGTTAATGCCAACCACTGGGCGCCAAGTGGCGGCTATACCACGTGGTATGAAATAACCAAATCTCCCACAATCATACTCCATCACAACCCGATACAGTTCCAGGAACAATTCAATTTCACATAATTCAATATCCATAAATTATTTCGTATTCAATACTCAATTTTGTTCAACATCAACAATATAGTTTCAAGATAAATCAAATAATGCCCACTTAACTAACAAATTTATCAAAACATAAATTTCATGTATTTGTTCCACACTTTTTATACATAAAACACTGTAACATATAAAGATAACATTTATAATATTAACATATGCTTATAATCACATCAACAAGCATACAAGGTAAATTAAAAAGTGGTTACCTCAAGTTCTTGACACAAGAACTAAAAGTAGGAGGATTCAAGACCCAAGAGCCCAAACCAAGCTCACTCTACAATAATAAATTGATAAACATATATTAATATAAAAAGACTAATTAATATAGCATTAAAATAGTTTATTAACTAAATGCCCATAATTGGCTTACTTTAAAAAGTTATCTTTAGGAAAAATAATAATTCATCTATTCTTCCAAGTGACAATTTCTAGTACTTCCCAACTCTATTTCTTTCATTCACATTATTAATAAGAATAATTCCTTCAAATTATCCTAAAATCCCCAAAAAGTGCTTACTTTAACCTTTAGAAAAATAACCATATATCAACTATACCTCCAATCATTATTACAATTCTATTCCCTTTTTTTTTTTCCATTAGCCATTCCCTATTCATTAGAATCAACAACTTATATTATTTTTCCCAATTTATTCAAAACACCCAACTCTCACTAGTTAGAGTCTCTCCAAGAATCATTAACATTATTATTTCAACAACAATCCTCAAAATTCAAGCATTGAATCGTCAATATAACCTCAAATGAACTCAACTAGGAGATAAATTCTGAAATTAATATCACCATTAACACTAATCACCATTTCCCAACCAAACCCTAACTTATATTGCCTCAAATCAACAATCCAACTAAAAATCTAAGTTATAAGGCTTCTATTCTAACCCTATAAGCTCCATTAATATCATCAAAATAAGTTAGAGGCCTCAAATAATTAAAAATCTATCAAACCCTAACACATCATTTTTTCTGCCATAAACTTAAAAATAAATAGAAAAAGTAGGAAGAAATAGCTTATCCAAATAATTTAGAGGAGACCAAAGAATCTCTTCTTGCTCACACCCTCAACCTCTCACTCTCACTCTCTCACGCGGCGCGACAGCTGACCAGAGGAACACGAACGCGAAGCAGTAAGGGGCACTGGACGGAGCTAAAAGGGAGATGAGAAATGAAAGTGTGCGTGTGTGATTTCAAAAAAAAATGGAAGTGGGTCACGTGAACCCCACACCTAAAGCCTTGCTTTTTTTTTTTTTTAAAAGATAAGGGGCAACTCTCCCTCACCCATACTCTCGGCAGTGGGTGGCCACGTGCCACCCACTTGCTTTAATTTTTTTTAATTATATATTATATATTTTTTTAAAAAAATTTATTTATTCTTCTATTTTATATATATAATTTATATATCACTGAAATTATAATTTTCAAGTTATTCAATAAGATTTAATTCTAATAATATTAACTAATCTCATACCCACATAACTTAAATCCTATAATAAGATTAATAAGATAAAGAAAAATGGAATGTTACACAATTCCTCCCATTCCAAGACTCCATAACCACTTTTGGAAAATCCTTTTCTAGAGCCCAAGCGGCTTGGTATCTAAATGGAGGTAATCTTTGGTGTTCCTTGTTTTCATTTCCTTGTGTAATTACAATCACTCGATGGTCAGACTTGAACTGGAGATGGTGGAAGACTTTATGGTGAGGATGAGAAATGGCCCATTCTGCATTACAAAGGGCCCAATCAAGTCTTTCCTTCATCTCATTCCTGGTCCAGGTAAATTTGTCCCCCCACTACAGGCAGTGTCAACAGTTGGCAAGATTGAACCCAGTCTTGGAAGTGGATTAGGCATCTGTTGTTTGGTATAGTTCCTCCAATTTTATCATCTAGGTTGAGAAAAATATTGAAATCCCCCAATATTATCCACAGTCCATGACATGTTTCGGTTATACCATTCAATGCAGCCCAAAGGTTTAATCTTTTTCTTACAGAAGTATCTCCATAGACAAAGGTGGAGTAAGTTTGTTCTCCGATAGCTTTTCTAGTGATCCGACAGTGTATGAATTGGGTGTTTGAATTGATGTATTCTACTTCAGTCTCCCAATCATTCCACATGACCCAGATACCTCCTGCATAACCATTTGCTTCTAGTCTTATCCAGTTATTGAAACCCAACTTGCATACCATTCCTTCAGTCAGTTACTGCTTATTCTTGTTTCCAAAAGTCACATAACCTGGATTCTATAAGTCTTAATGATCTCTTTGAAGATACGTGGAAACAATCTCCCTCCTGCTCCACGACAATTCCAAGATGCTACAATCATTACAAAATAAAACACAACAAATAGTCAGAATGGAGGGTTTTGATTCCTTTATGTTTTCCTTCTTCGGAGTGTTTCCCACCGGGCCATTTCTGGGTGGATTGTCCTCATTTCCGTACTGCGCAATGGATTCTCCCTTTACCAGTGGGCCTGTATTGTGCTCCAACAGAGGCGTTGTGGTTTTTCTTTCTTTTTGCTTGGGATCTATCCGCATTAGTTGGCGGTTGGGGTTTTCTGGGGTATACTCTGTTGGCCCTGTTTGGGGTACCTGTGGGCTTTGGCCTTGGACTCCCACCAAGCTCAAGAGCGGGTGAAAAATGGCAGGGAGACAATTTTAATAGAGCACATCTTGACTCTTTTTATTTGGTTTTGGCTGGTTAAGTGCTGAGTTTGTGTATTTTTATTTGTCTAGCTAAGAAGTTTGTGTATAAGAACAAAACGTGACTCGTCCAAACTTGTAACAGCATATGATTAAGACATTTGTAAACAATGAGATTGGTGATGAAATGAAATTTCTTAGCGTGTGTGTATGTAAATAGATACTGCTATAATCAAATTACTGAAAAGTTCATCTTTGAATTTTCTATATTTGAGTGAAAAATACTAGCTAGGAACTTGCTAGTTCTCTTGGACAGAATAAGATTCTATCCAACAGGTTTCTCTCCTGGATTGTCCTGATGCACATATAAATGCAATGCAGCTTCTAATACTATCTTCGGTACTTAATATAAAAACTAGTTAACTAATTTGAGTAGATAAAAGAAACTAGCTAAGTTAGTTATTTGTAATAAATAAACGTTGTCTTTTCTAAAATATCCTTGCTAATCAAGTATGTTGGCTAGAACTACTATTATTACAAGAACTATATTAAAAAAAATGAATAAATATGAATAATAAAGTGAATTGAGATGTTATATTTAGGACCAAAATAAAAGACAAATGGGTTATTATATTAAAGACGGGAAGTAGTATATCATAGCGTTATATACTTCTTCCAAATTATATATACCTGTAATGGCAATTTGTAAAAGATAAATAATTTAATTCAGTACAGCCAATATTTCTTTTGGACCACAAAATTTAAACCTTTCAATTATTAACTGATTTTTCTTCCTAATTAATAGCATCACATAACACTAAAATGATTGATAGTGCGCACAAGGCCACAACCAATGAGATTAGGGCCCAAGGGGACCACTTCCAGATATACTTAAACATGGGCCGTAACGTTTAGGAGAAGTGCCCCGTAAAAAATGGTTCATTTGGAGAAGGTTATTAGAGCCATTCACTAGCCACCGTTAGGCGCCGTTTGTTGAGTTGATTGAGAAGAAACTATAAGACAGGGATCACATTACAAATTAAGTTAATTATAAATGGGGACTTCAAATTTCGGAAATTACTCAAAATTCTCAGTCTATTTTCTTTGTAAAAAGTATGTCATCTTGACCAAAATACTGGTTGCAGGAAAACTTGTTTATGTAACAAAATAACATTTGTGAATTTCTTTTTATAACATGTAAAGTTTCTTCCCCCAAAAACTTGCAAGTTTACAATTCCCACCTTTAAAATTTGATTGCTGAATTTGGGGATGACGCTACGCGTGAATTTTTCTCTTTGATAAATTACTTGAATGATTTTTTTTTAAAAGCTCGAAACACTTTTTTTCTAGAAATATTTAACAACCTTAGGATTAGTTTCAAATATTTGAAATCCCTATTTATAATTAGTTTTATTGTTGGCAAAAAATTTATGATAAATTTTATTGCGTACTCTTTATTTGTAATTTCCGCTAAAAATTATAAGGGGCTAATTATTATTATTATTATTTTCATGTTATCAAATGCAAATATTTGCAGCAGTATTTAAGTGGTGAAACGTCCCATTTACAGGGGCTAATGGTGAACGAGTGCTTTGATACTGTTGACATTATGGAGGAAAAGTGAAGAATTGATGTAAATTTTAGGGTCTAGATGTCTAATTTTCCCCACATTTCTTTTCGGCCGTCACTTTCCATTAGTTGCATGACACGTTCCTTAGTTGGTTCCTCCCTCACGAGACTCGGTGCGTTCATATTCTGACACCACATTTCAGGAATCAGGCTTCAGTTCAAATTATATGATTCTCCCCCTCTCTTCCACACTCCCTCACCGTTTTCGTCTTCTCCCATGGCGGAAAACACCGACGCTTACCCCCTCCTCGTCAAACATTCTTCAGCCCACAAAGGAGGCTGGCACGCCGCAATCTTCATCATCTGTAAGTCGCGTTTCCAACTCTCATCTTCCTCAGAGACAACGATCTGAGTATCGAAATGTAAGATTCACTTAGACGCTTTTATTATTGTAATATTCTCTCTTCGATCACAGGGGTGGAGTTCGCAGAGAGATTCGCTTACTATGGTTTGTCCGGAAACCTGATAACTTACCTGACGAATGCTCTTCATCAGCCAAATACGGCGGCGGCGATAAACGTCAACACTTGGACCGGCGTTTCGTCGCTCTTTCCTTTGCTTGGGGGCTTTGTCGCTGACTCATATCTCGGTCGTTTCAACACCATCGTAGCGTCGTCTCTCATCTATCTCGTCGTATGCAATTCTTCTACTCCTATACCGTCATTATTATATTCTTCTTGTTCTTGGCTGTGCTTCAGAACGGATTGATTTCGGACCCTTGGATTCAAGTCTTGATGCTCTCTGCACATTTGTTAAAGTAGTTGCAAATGATTGAACAATTCTGCTTTTGTTCTTTTGCTATTTGTGATGATTTGAACAAAATTAAACTGCAGGGCATAATACTTTTGATATTGTCGGTGTCAGCAGTGAAGAACGCGACTCTGTTTTTCGTTGGGCTTTATGTAATATCCATCGGCGACGGTGGCTACATGCCGTGTGTACAAACCTTCGCTGCCAATCAGTTCGACGATGGCTCGCCGGAAGAGAGAAATGCCAAAAGCTCATTCTTCAACTGGTGGTATTTGAGCACCGTGGCTGGTGGGCTTTTAGCTACTTTCCTCCTAATATATCTCCAGGTAATTCCTTTGCATTTTTAATCATTTAATGAGTTTATTTGGCAAAAAACAAAATTCATTTGAAGAATTGCACTACACGCTCAAAATTTTGGGCAAAAAATTGTTTAAAACACTTGGAAAATTGCTGAATAATCTTTTATTGAAAATTATCTTTAGGGGCATTTGGAAGAAAACCAAATCATAAGTTTAAAAATGATTGAAAAATTATGAGACAGAAATTTTAAGTGGACTTGCATAAAAATATTTTTAAAAGTATTTTTTATAATTACCGAACACCTCTAAGATATATTGGACCCTGTGTGCAACTTTTCATTACATCTGTGTATAATACATCTTCTGTGAGCATATGTCCTTTTTGTTTTAAAAATTTTTGTGGGTAGCAGAAGATAAATTACACTTGTTGAAAAAAAATTTTATGTGTAGCTGAAGATAAATTACACTTGCTGAAAATGAGTTGCGCGTACCTGAAAGCTGATTCACTGAAAATGCATTGCAGCTAATTAAGGGCTTACAAATTTCATTTACTTTTGGGTAATAAATATTTCAATGAAGAATTTTTCGGCAAATTTCTCTAAAAAAGTTTTTTCTTTCTAAATATGTATATCTGTACGAAAATTCTAGAAAGCTATATATTCAGAAATTAAAACTAAAGCTTTCTAGCCCATTGTATATTTTTGTAAAAATTAAATTTCGAAAGTAAAAAAGAATTAAAATTAAATTATGCGGACAAACAGGACAATGTTGGATGGGCTACGGGCCTTGGGGTACCAGCGGTTGTATTGGTGTTGGCACTAGCAATGTTCTTGTTGGGAAAAAACCGATACAGAAAGGAAGGCCCAACGGGCAGCCCATTCACAAGAATGGCCCAAGTTTTCACTGCTGCAATTCGGAAATGGCGCGTGAAAACCACGCGTGAACCTCATACTTACAGGTACGGCGAAGAAGAGGAAGATGATGAGTCCCAGCTTCAAAGCAGTCAACCAAATTCTCACTCTATAGCCCACACCAATGAATTCAGGTGCTTCTCACTTCTCACAAAATCCTGAAACATCATCAAAATAATACCCCCTCTTGTGTTAGTTGTCTCATCTCATATGTAAGATTTTAATTTAATTTATTTTGTCTTTAAATTTATAATTTTTTATTAAATTATCCCTATTAGTGCATATATTAAAGGGATTTTTATATATAAATCAATACATATTTATTACAAATAAGTTCATTAATATTTTTAATACATGTAAATTAGTTATTTAACTCCTCCTGTGAAAGCCATTTGATCGGAAGGAACTCATGAAATGAGGATGGACATGGGAGGTAGATTCAAATGCCAATGCAGCAATCCAATTTGTTTATTTATTAGCCGAAACTTGAAAGAGAAATAGGAAATTTCTTGCGAACACTTAATTAGATTCAAAATCAACAATCCAATTTACTAGTGGCCACGTTACAAAGTAAAATGTTGTTGCAGATTTCTCGACAAGGCAATGATCATTGATGACTTGGATGCCTCAAGCAAAACTAGAAACCCATGGACACTATGTTCGGTGAATCAAGTTGAAGAAGTCAAGCTTGTTCTTCGCCTTATACCTATATGGCTAAGTTGCTTAATGTTCTCTGTTGTCACAGCTCAACTCCACACATTCATGACAAAACAAGGAAGTACAATGGTTCGTTCAATCGGACCACACTTCCAAATCCCTCCAGCATCGCTTCAAGGAGTTGTCGGAGTCATCATCCTCATCGCTGTCCCTATCTACGACCGAGTTTTCGTCCCCTTTGCCAGAAAACTCACCGGACACCCATCTGGCATCACAGTGTTGCAGAGAATTGGAATAGGTCTGTTCTTATCTGTACTCAACATGGTTGTTGCGGCTTTAGCGGAAGCCAAAAGGGTTAGCATTGCTAGAGAGAATAATCTTCTTGACAAACCCAAAGCTATAATACCAATGAGCATCTGGTGGATGCTTCCTCAGTACTTCATCTATGGTGCTTCTGATGCATTAACTGTTGTAGGGTTACAAGAATTGTTCTATGATCAAGTGCCAGAGACGATGAGAAGCTTAGGAGCTGCTTCATATTTAAGCTTGTTAGGTGTTGGAAGCTTTGCAAGTAATGTTGTTATAACAGTTGTGCAACAGATTAGCTCAAGAGCCGGTGAGGAATGGTTAGGAGACAATTTGAACAGAGCACATCTTGACTCTTTTTATTTGGTTTTGGCTGGTTTGAGTGCTGTGAGTTTGTGTGTTTATATTTGGCTAGCTAAGAAGTTTATGTATAAGAATTTAAAGAACATAAATGCGACTGGTCAAAGCTTGTAACATCATCAGCATGCATTGTAAACAATATGGAAGTCATGAAATGAAGTTTCTCAGTATATATATTGTGATTCCTTCCTAGCTTTCCGCTTCTTATGATTTCTACTGTTAGATAATCAAACTCAGAAAAGTTCACTTTTGAATTTTCTAATTTTTTGAGTCAAAAATACAACCGCCCCCTCCCCCAAAAAACAGAAAAACAAAAAAACCACACACACACCCACACAAAACCAAGCAGTCGTTCTGGTGTCAGTGCCGCAAAGGATTGGAATAGGCCTATTCTTGTGGATACTTAACATGGTTGTCTCAGCCTATAAGAAATGGCTGAGAAATTATTTGAATAAGGCAGACCTTGACTATTTGTAATTGTATTGGGTTTTGGCAGGTTTAAGTGCTATGAGTTCGTGTGTTTATATTTTGGTTATTTGCATGTTGATGAGTATATGATTTTGCTTTTAATAGTTCTGTCACATCAGTTGTGCAGGAAACTGGTTCAAGATTGGGAACAATTTGAATCAGGCACACTTGAATTATTTACTTTTATTGGTTTTCGTCAGGTTTAAGTTCTCTGAGTTTGTGCATTTGTGTTTGGTTTGCTAAGAGTTTCATGTACAAAACTATTAATATTGTGGTTCAGAAGCTAGTAACCAATTAAGGAGGTTCTAGTTGTAATAAGACAACAACCTAACTGTAAGACTCCTTCTGTCCCTAATTATAAAGTTCAGTTTGAAGATCAAAGTAGTCCTTATTATAAAATCTTTTATGAAGTTCTTACAAAAAAAAATGTTTTAGTATATGCCTTTAATAAATGATAAGGAAATTACTGCATCTTTGATCACAGTTTTTTTTTTTTTTTAAATATGAGATGAATGATAATGAAAGAAGTTTCTCTCTTATCTTCGTACTTCTGTCTTTTTCTCTTGTGAATTAATGTTCTTCAGTTTTCATTAAAAAAATGATTAAATCATAATAAATGAATAGATTTTTCAATGAAAATATTCCCTTTAATTAAGAGCATAATTAAAAAGAAGCAAAGACATTTTATGCATAAACCAACATAAGCTATTTTCATTGACACCTATGAGTCTCAAATTGGATGTCATAATTAGGCACAAAACGAGTATTTCCTGGGTAAGGAGGTGAAATAAATTTCTTTTATGTTGTGATTTATTATTGGGCATCATTTATTTATGATTTGTTAAAATTCAACATTTCAAGAACTTCTTTTTCTGGTTTTTTTTTAGTTTTAAAAAAAATGGGGAAAAAAAGCTTGTCGCTAAGTAGATTAGGTGCTATCCGATTGCAATACCAAAAAATTACTTCAAGACTATCTGATCATCAATATAGTAATGTGTTTTTTGATTTAGTTGTGCATTTTATGGAAGCTTTTAAAAGGTAAAAAAAAATCACAATAATAAATATATTAATGCTTGAATATAAAATATATAACAAATCACATTATCACAAGTAATTAATAATGTGAATTATTTTTAATTTTTTATTAACATGTCTATATAATACATGAATAAGTATATCTATTTGAGAATAAATACCTGCATATCAATCCAATAAGAATCCAAGATAATTAGATAACTTAAGTTGAATGTTGGTAATATGCTGGTGAAGTGTAAACGTTCTTTAACGTAAAAGGTTGCATTTCTCAATGTAGTGAAAAAGAAATCTCACCAGAAAAAGAGACCTTGCTGGTGAAATTTCCACCTAAAACTCTAAATATTTCTATAATTTGTTTCAATGTTCCAATTATGTTTCTCTGAAAAAACAAAATAAATGATGTAATAATGAGATAATACTCCTTCGGTCTTTAATATAAGACCCATTTAATTAATTTGATTAGATTAAGAATGTTAGATAAGTTAGTTAATTATAAGAACTGTGACATGTTTTTTTTAAAAATACCATAATCATTTTTCTTAATACCCTCTCTTCCTCTTCTACTTGATCATAGTTGAAAGTATCCATAGAGGTAATTTAGAGAAAATTGATAAATATGAGAAATGAGTCTTATATTTGGACCAAAACCAACTTAACAATTGGGTCATATATTAAGAACCAGAAAAGTTTTTTTTTTTTTTTGGGGCCAACGATGTAGGAATGAGATGATGAAGAATGAAGAAAGAGGAGTTGGAAAGTCAATGACATGTTTGTTATATTATTAGTGACAGAGAGAATGTGAAGGCCATCATATTTTAGACCTTTTCCATTCAAAAGGCTGTTTGGAAATCGAAACCGTCTATGCTTTTCGGTCAATTTGGCCCTTGAAATTCCTCAATGGACAATCATTTTAATACCAATAAAATATTTTGATAAGAGAACTATTGGTCGACTCATTAATTAATTCTCTTATTCCTGATGATCTGGAGTTTTTTAGTAAAACACATACTGAAAGAGTCACTAAATAAATACAAAGAAAACATAAGCATCGTGTTTTAGAATAAGAATTAATTATTTAGTTTTCAAACGAACATTGATGTAGTAGTTCACTCTAGTATAGTTGCTTGAAGAGGGCTTATGCCATGAATATAAAACACATTCTATAATCTTTAGTTACTATTGTTTAATTTAACTAATCGATTCATTAGTATTTAACTTAATTAAGAAATATTTATAATATATCCTTTCTAAGGAAAATTTATGTGCATTTGCATGTGGTGACAAGTGAAGACATATTCTGTACAGCAGCCTTTTTTCCAAGTTACCAGTTATACACCATAATATATATAGTTGTCTGTAATTATGAACAGAAAAGGTCAAAAGGAATCATGATGGACAAGTGCAATATTAAATTAGGCAAAAGAGACAGCATCATTATCTTTTCTTGTTTTTCAATTCAAGAATCAACCTAGAAGATCCTGCAGATTCTGGATGAAATCTGATTGATCTCTTTTCTCAAAACTGTGAGATTTCCTATGAGGATCATTTATCTTCTTCTTCTTCATGGTTCTCCCCTTTTAAAATGTGGCATTCTATTATCTTCATCTTCATCTCTCAGAACTCTCTGCTAGCTTTCTCTCCTTCTGGGTATGGCTGCAAAGGCACAGTTCCATGTTTTGGTTGTTGATGATAGTCTGATAGATAGAATGTTAATTGAGAGGCTCCTCAAAACCTCTTCTTATCATGGTATTTTTAATTTGTTTCTTGTCTTTTAGGGTTCTTCCTCATATATAAATTTCAGATCGGTGTTCAGTACTTTTTTAGTGGGATGTGAGTTTAGAGTTTTTGTGTTATGACAGTAACCGCAGTGGAGTCTGGCAGGAAGGCTTTGAAGTTTCTGGGTTTGCAAGTGGATGATGAAATGAAAGTAGAAACTGCTATTGTTGCTGCAGAAACCCATCAGGTTGAAATGTGATATTAAAATTGGTTTTTGGCCTCAGATTTCTGATAATAAATTAAATGCATATTCTTAGAAATTTTTTTGTTGTGTGGATTAATTTGAATTGATCTTTCATGGAACTTATCATGCAGGTTGTGGAGGTACATTTGATCATCACAGATTATTGTATGCCAGGAATGACAGGCTATGATCTCACCAGAAAAATCAAGGCAAGTTGCTTTTTAAAAGGAAAATTACATTTAAAATTGTTCCTTACAAATATGTGACTTGACTTTAATTTAACATCGGGGGCATTAAACATAATTTTTTCCCAAAAAAAGAAAAGAAAAGAAAAGGCTCGTATCAGTGTTTTGTTTTATGACATTTTTATATGTAATTCCAAATATTTCAAAAATTTCCCATGAATTTTTGCTTTGTGTTTTTGGAGTTATTGATAATCAACATCTTCATATGAAAAATGACCTAAAACGCATTTTTAGCAGGCATTTCATAACCTTTTTAATCATGTGAAGTTAGAAGATAATGGAATTTCAATAACTTGCAGGAATCTAAATCTCTTAGAGATATACCTGTAGTGATTATGTCCTCAGAAAATGTGCCATCGAGGATCAACAGGTAAGATAAACAGCATACTACATTATATGCAAATCTCATATTAAAAATATTTTAAAGGGGCATCACATGACTAAATCTGAAATCTAAAAAAAAATGTTTTTTTTTTTTTAATTGTTTGGGTCAGATGCTTAGAAGAAGGAGCTGAGGAATTCTTTCTGAAACCAGTTCAGCAGTCAGATGTAAACAGGCTCAAGCCTCATATGCTGAGATCAAAAGTTAAGGAAGAAAAAGACCAACTCATTAATAATAAAAGAGCTGGAAGAGAGCCACTCTCAAGATAAATTGAGGCAAAAAAGATAGCTCATTTTTCTAGTTTGACAGAAGATGGATAGGTTCATATTACTTTGACCATATTCCATTTCTGTCTCAGAAGCTAATAGAAAAGTAAGATAAATGATTTCATTCAATTATCTTTTATTTTCTTCAACTCTAGTCTTGATGCTCAATGTTCAATTTGAGTTAATAAATTTGAGGACGGCATGAGCAGCTCCAGAAAGTAAAGAAGGGGATAATAATTGTTCTTTTTTCGTTCTAAAGAAAAGAACCTCCTAGGCAGGTTTTTTTATCTATTTATTATGTTATTTCCCATATCCTTTATAGTGATACATGCTTTTCCAATTTCATTGCTCTAAAAGTATTACAATAAAAATTAGTCAGATATCATGGATCTTTTAATGAGAACATACCACTATTCATTAAAATTAGGTCCCATTTGGTACGAAGTATTAAAAATAAGGGATTGGTATTGAGATTGCAATTAAAAAAATCATTAAAATAATATTTAGCATGAGTAATTGTTTATTATATGGGATTAGACAAACCTATAGAGGTGGGATTGGAAAATACCACCTTCTCCCATGGTATTCTCCAATCCCACATACATGGATTTAACTACTCCCATATAACAATCAATCTCTTATACTAAATATTCTTTTAGTAGATTTTCTCAATTGCAATCACAATCCTAATTCCTTATTTTTAATACTTCTTACTAAACGTAACTTCAGAGTCATACCCCTCCCTGTTCCAGAGGGTTAAAACCCACTTCATGCAGCCTTGCTCTCCATTATT